CACTAAAACACATTCTCTTTATCTGTGTTTTTATACACCTGAACCATTTATTTCTTTAAAAGAATATATAATTTTGAAAATAAAAGCAACTATTAATTTTAAATCTTTGAACTATCATTTTATTATATATTAATTATAGGAATTTTAAAGTATCAGCTCATAAAAATTTGTAGAAAAAATGTATTCTTGTATGTAATCAGACATTTTTTAACAAATATTTAACATGCATTTGGATGTGATAAAGCTACATATATTACATGTGGTAAAAAATTATGAGTGAAAGCAAATTTTTAAAAATAAAACAAAATATTCATGTTTTTGAGAGTCTTGAAGGTAACCCATTATAATGTTCCCATTTTATAGGAAAAGATCTGAGTCCCATAAAACCTCAATATTAGCCAAACTTAACAGTCTAGAGACAAAGTAGAATTTAGAATATCATGTCACAGTGTTTTGCCTTTTCTGAGATCTCCTGAGGGGAGGATGAATAACAGAGGGATGTCCTCTTGGAATGGAGCAGGCTTATCAACAAAACTACTATAAAAAAGAAAAAAAAAATCCTGCAATGAGTTATAAGTTAGAAGTTTACCTTTTCCAAAAAGGCTCTGGTGTGAGCCATTTGCAGGTTTCAAAGCAGTCATATTATATTTCAATGTTTCACTCCTTTCCCATCTTAACATTTATGAGTCAGTGAAAGAAGCCAAGCATATTTGAAAATTTAATGAAAAACACACACCATTCTTATGTCCCAATAGTACAAGGATAATAGTATATGACAAAAATAGTTTCACAACCTAACTTACCCTTTTCCTCAAATTATTACTGCTGGAATATTTGTTTGAGATAAATGCCATTGAACAATGGCTAAATATAGAATAGTTGATTCATATTATTCTGAGTGGTAATAAATATTTATATACCCGATTTAATTTTGTTTGTTCATGTTCTTCTATGTGATCTATTGATATATGCATTTTTAAATGTTTTTTTTAATTGATTTTAGAGAGAGATGAAGAAGAGGGAGGGAGAGAAAGCTAGAGACATCAATGAGAGAAACAGTGATGAGAGAGAAATATCCACTCACTTCTGTACGCCCCTTACTGGGGATCAAGCCTGCAACACTGGCATGTGCTCAGACTTGAAATCCAACCAGTGACCTCTTGATGCATGAGACAACATGCAAGCAATTGAGCCACACTGGCCAGGCTGACCTATTTGCCATTTAAAATATAGTGGCAAATTCAGTATTGTGGTAAGTTAGTTTGAAACACATGTGAAAAAGTAAGTTGAAACAGTTATATTTTATCTTTATGTCAGACCTTTCCCACTCAACATATTTTTATTAAGAATCTATTCTGTATACAATAATACCTTAGTTTATATGATAAAGCTAATTTGTAAGAATTAATTACTAGGTAATATTTAAAACCAGGTTCAGAACAATTGATAGGCATGAGTGCCTACCTTTTGTTTTGCCATTGATTTTGGATGTTTACTGACATTAAAAATAATCATGAACATGCTGATTTACATGTGTTGTCCTTTAATATGGTTAACTAAATTATTTGACACTATTAACTTATGATGCCTTGTGAGTACACAGCATTTATTACTATCATGGATACACTACTTTGAAGACTTTAAATTTAATATTGAACATAATATATTTAAATAAATAATCCTCTTTAGTATTTTGATACTTGTTGTTTTTTAATTTTTCCAATATTCTCATTTCAGGTGCTAAGTATAAAATTTTAATGAGCACTTCCAACCACTTTTTTAAAATAGCATATATTTTTAAAATATATTTTTTATTGATTTCAAAGAGGAAGAGAGAGATAGAAACATCAATGATAAGAGAGAATCATTGATTGGCTGCCTCCTGCACACCTCCTACTGGGGATCAAGCCTGCAAGCCAGCCATGTGCCCTTGACCAGAATCAAAACCCCCTTCAGTTGACAGACCAACGCTCTATCCACTGAGCCAAACCAGCTAAGACAATGGTATCATATATTTTAATCAACTCAAATTCAATCTCATCAATCTCTGACCCTCTTAATTATTTAGATATGTACTTCTTTGTCAATAATCCTTCTCCAATAGAATGCAAACTCCAATGGACTAGAGACATTATCTCCTGTTTTCACTATTTTATTCACCAGGGTTTTTAGGTGAGGCCGTGGGAAAAGGGAAAGTCTAATGCTTAACTAATATTTGTTGAATGAATAAATGACTGACTGCAAACCAGATTTTGTTCTTTTCTTTGGTGTGTCTTCCAGGGCTTGCTTACATTTTGAGACAAAGTGATCAGACCTTTTCCCGGTGGCTTTTAGACTTTTTCTACTATGCCCCACAGAAATAACTTTCATATCTGTGTGTGTGTGTTTGAAACAAAATATTCCTGAAGCAACACTTCATTGTGTTATCAGTGAACCTTAATAAATAAATCTCTAAGCTATTGCTTCCATACTGTTTATTTAAAGAATAATTCTAGAGCACAGAGGATTTTTAGAGTAGTGAAAACACTGTGTATAACATAATGATGGATATGCATGTTTATATCTTTGTCCAAGCCCATGAAATGTAAAACTCCAAGAGTGAACCATTATGTAACCTTTATGTATGCCATATGGAACCAAGAGTGTGCCATCAGGTAAATTTGGGAGTTTTTGTTATGTGGTTTCATAAATTGTAACAAAAGTACCGCTCCGGTGGGTGGATGTTGATTATGGGAGAGGCTGTACACGTGTGCCTGCAGAGGGCATATGGAAATCTACATATTCCACTCCATTTTGCTGTGAACATAAAACTGCTCTGAAATCTGAAGTATTAACAAAAAACAGAATAATAATGCTGAAATTGACTCCACAATCCACACACCTGCGGTTTGTAAAACACCATTTTAGACAAAAATGACCAGAGATGAACCACATTGATCGTTATGTTTGTGGAAAGAACACGTGTCCTCATAAGCATCGGAGAGCGCAATCGCCAGGCCCATCTTTTCCTGAACTTCCATCCTTCCCAGCCACCTCAGCTCTCTGTGTGGATATCACTCACTTTTCATCGCCCCGGCTTTCAGAAGCTAGGAGGCCTGAAAGAAAATGAAGTGTCCTTTCTCGGTCTCACGGTGAGCAGCTGAGAAATTAAGTAAATTTGGACTTGGATTCAGCGACAAACAAAGCAATGTACAAAAAATTATTTCATAAAATTCTCGCCACAATCACACCAACCAGGAATGGCTGCTCTCCTTTTATAAGTGAAACAATTGAGCCCCAAGAGGTCAGAGGACTTACTCAAGGAGACAAAGTGAATGAGCAGCAGGGCCTAGACCCACTCCTGCTGCCCATAGAGTCTCCCTCTGGGGGAGGCAGATGCCTGATGAGGGAGTTCCTGGAACCAGAGGCAGTTTCCCCGGAGCTCAGAGCTTCCAGACACTCAGAAGTACTTGCATGTCCAGGGCCTTTTCCTATGGGCCATGAAGATAAAGAACACAATGTTCTCTCAAACTTCACCTTGCTACTGTACCCTCCTCAACCACACCCTGATCTCCAGCCCCTTCCCCTGTGCAGGGAGTTACGGTGAGGCATCTAAAAGTAGCCTTGATCATGGATTACACACTTCAACACATGGATCTGGCCCATGACTACAAGAGCCCTGTGAGCTAGGAAGGAAGGATTGCTCTCCCCTAAAAAACTAACCTTGACTTAGCTAGGGTCATATCCACTGCAGCTCAAAGGAAAGCACAGAATTGGGCTCCTCTGCAATTGCATGTTTCCATTTTTCCCCCCCAAAGGGAAATCTTCACTTAGTTAGAACTAGTCAAGATTTATTAAAAACTGCTGGAACCTGTTTGGCTCAGTGGATAGAGCGTCAGCCTATGAAATGAAAGGTCCCAGGTTCTATTCCGGTCAAGGGCATGTACCTTGGTTGCCTGGCACATCCCCAGTGGGTGGTGTGCAAGAGGCAACTGATCCATGTTCTCTCTCATTGATGTTCCTAACTCTCTATCCCTCTTCCTTCTTCTCTTTAAAAAAATCAATAAAATATATATATTTAAAAAAATTTTATTGCAAACTAAACACTGTGCATTCCAGTTCCTTCCCAGGCCCCACTGTCACCCAGGCGTGCGCTCTGCCTTGCCGGTGGAGGAGCCAGTCACCTTGGAGAAGTCTTTGGCTTCTACCTTCACCCACTTCCTCCTGGCCACTTTGGTCTCTGCTCCCTTTCTGGATTACTGTCTGGGCTAACGCCCCAAATCACTTACTAGTACAGCCCCAACTGAGCATGTTTCTAGAATAGGCATTAGCAATGGAAGAAGAAGAAAGGAGGGAGGAAAAGGGTGTCTGAAATTTGAGACAGTGTCATGGAAGGATGCTGAGGTGGAAGGGAAGAAATAAGAAGTGTGCCCAGATGGCAGGTGAGGAGGAGAGAGCATCTGACCCCAGCAGACGCAGCAGGGACCACCAGGTGACGAAGGAGGCCAGGGTCCTGTGGTGAAGCTGGGCAGGGGAGTGAGGCTAGAGGCAGGGTTTGAAGTTGATTATTAGACGCTGGGTGGTGGGGAGAGTCCTGGGCCTCTGTCAGGCCGCGCATGGGCACGCTCGGTGGCGGAGCGGAGTTGGCCAGCCCGGGGAGCTGTGCGCCCTCCGCCTCGGAGCTGAGAGCGCACAGCTCAGGGCAGAGGCCACGCCGCCCGGAGCGCGCCCGCCCCCTGCAGCCTGTGCTGCAGCCGCCGGCCGCCGGAGGGGGCGAACCCACGCCAACCTGTTGTTTGTCCCGGCACCATCTATCAGCGCTCAGCACCACAAGGAAGTGCGGCAGCCGCAGGCTCGGAAAGTTCAGCATGCAGGAAGTTCGCGCGCAGCTCGGCGACTAGCGCGGCGGCCGGCCATCGCGGGGGAGCGCAGGCGGCACAGCGCGGCGGCAGCGGCTGTCCCTCCCGGGAGATCGCCCGGGTTTTTCTCGGAGCAACGCCGTCCCTCCGTCTCCGATCCCAATGCACCGGCTCGCTCTCCTCTACACGCTCATCTGCGCAAACTTTTGCAGCTACCGGGACGCTTCTGCAACCCCGCAGAGCGCATCCATCAGAGCTTTGCGCAACGCCAACCTCAGGCGAGATGGTAAGGGGCTCAGATTTTCTTTAGTTCTTTTCTTTAAAATAATCACCTTTTCTCGCCCTCTCTCTCATGGGAACCCTGGTGAATGCATTGTGGATTGGGGGTTTTCCTGTCCGTCCGTAGTCCTGAGAGAGCCCCCCCCCCCCTTTTTTTTTTCTGGAATGGGACGGGGATGTGTGGGATGCCTGCAGGAGGGACTGGAGCCGGTGAGGTGGCTCTCCGCCTGCTCACCAGAGAAGTCCGTTTGATGCCCAATAGGTACTGATCCGGAGTTGCAGAAAGTTGCAGGCTGCGCCACCCATTGGTAAAGCTCTTGACCTTTTGAACTTGAAACTCAGAGGAGACACTTCAAGTAGATGGAGGCACTCAAGGGTGACTTCCTCTGGGTAACTTATTTTAACTTTTATTGTTTTCGCGGAGAAAGAGGGAACGTGGCACTTCAGTATCTCAGTTACATCTGGGACAGACTGACTACTTTTCAAATGTAACTGAGATACTAATAAAATGAAAGAGGGAACGTGGCATTTGAACCCCACTGAGGTTCAGAGTGGCTCAGGAGCTCAGGGTCTGGGAGAATAGGAATTTTGGGGTTCCATCTGGGTACAGATGGAACCCTTTTCTGCTATTAATTTCCTTGCACAGAAGCTTTTCAACTGTTTGCAAAAAAAAAAAAAAGTAAAGCTCTTTAAACAGCTATCCTAAGCAAGGTCCTAAGCAAGCTTGTTTGTTTTCCTTCATTCCAGAGGACACCTGGGTCATTTGGGTCCCAGAGACTTTAATTCAGTTTATTTATCTTCTGGGCCTCCACCGAGATCTGAAGTTGGTTTATTTCTCAGTTCTCAACTCCAGCTGATGGTGCCAGTATTTTGCAGCTGTTTCTGCCATCTACCTGAAGTGACCCATAGGTTTTCCCTCATCAATACCTCTTCCTCTGCTTGGGTACAGTTCTCACACATTCCCCAAGATCACCAAGCTAATCTTAATGGCTTTGCTGTTTTAGCTGGCAACATTGGACTGTTCTCTGGTAAATCCATAGCAGACATTTTATTCTCTCATTGTATGTCCTTAACTTTGACTTTGCTGAAAAGCTTCTGAACCTGAAAACAAAGAAACTTCATTATATTTTCTGATGACAAATAAACCGCAGATTTCAGTATATTCAAGTCATCTGAAGTGGGGTGAGTGTGTGTGTGTGTGTGTGTGTGTGTGTGTGTGTGTATGTGTATGGAGGGTACAGGGAACTATGGAGTCAGCTGCTGGCCAGAGATCCCCCAATATGTATAGAATTACTTCATTATAGTGTTGTATATAAAATGAGCTATTAGTACCTTTCTGATAACTTTCCAACTTAATTACAACATAACATTGTCTTACTAACCTTACAAAGTAAAAAAGTTTAGGCTTACAATCAATCTTTTATCATTTTGTTTTACTGGGTAATATTTCCATCAAGAGTCTTCTTCTAGCCGAAACCGGTTTGGCTCAATGGATAGAGCGTCGGCTTGGGGACTGAAGGGTCCAGGGTTCGATTCCGGTAAAGGGCATGTACCTTGGTTGTGGGCATATCCCCAGTAGGGGGTATGCAAGAGGCAGCTGATAGATGATTCTCTCTCATCGATGTTTCTAACTCTGTATCTCTCTCCCTTCCTCTCTGTACAAAATCAATAAAATGTATTAAAAAAAAAAGAGTCTTCTTCTAGTTGAGTTTTCAGATTTGTTAATGCTTGCACTTTATATGCCCTTTCAGCTGCAGAGACTGAAATGCCATTTCTAATTTGCATGACTTCATAGCCATAATTGTGTAATCTGTGGCCTCCCAGTATAAGTTACAAGAAGTCAAGGACAGACTCTGAAAGTCTGTAAGTGTTGCCCATTAGCCCATGATTCTGACTAAAACCAAGTCATGCAGCTCATGATATTATTTTGAAAATAATAATCTCATTTTATTTGTCTATGTGAAAACTCTATACATCTGTCATGTCTATATAACAAATGATATGCTTGATCAGAATTTCAAAAACTTCCCTGGATTTAGTTCTCCATATTTTAGCTAAAGCTACTTTTCAATTATTCTAATAGTAGACACACACACACACACACACACACACACACACACACACATATTTTAATTGGTTTATATTGTTCAATACTTTTCTCAATGCCAATCTCATTCTATAAATACTGGTAAGACTAGGAAAGGGGGAAGGATATTTAGAATAAAAGAAAATTGTCACATAAAGAGTAAAAAAAAATTAACTCATAATGTGTGGTTAGTTTGGAGAATTTTCAAAGGGTAGCTTATTCTTATAAAGCATGCATTCTCAAAAACAAACAAACAAACAAAACAACAACAAAAAAACAACTATTGCCCCAAGGGATCAAAATTGGGTATTAGGAGGTGAAAAATCTTTGGTATTACAATGGTTTGTGGTCCTCAAAAGGGCCAGTGCATATAAACAGATTAAAAGTCTATCTGTAGTGTTATTATTTCATAGGGAGGATATGTGATTAGGGGGGAAAAAGTCTAAAAGGGCACCTTGAGTGGGGAATGACAATAATGTAGAAAATGTTGATGAACATTGCCAGAGAGTTTTGGAGAGACAGTAGAATAAAGAGTCTTTGAAAAAGTCTAGACATTGTCTGGAAAATCTTAATGTCAAAAGTTGAACTGACGAGAGAAAGTAATAACTTATTAAATTGAACCCTTATTCTGATTCCAACATTTTTCGCTTGCTGTCCCAATGTTTCCTAATGTTTCATTAAAGAAGACAATAGTCTTAATCTTTTGACTGTCAGATTAAGACAGGGTATAAGCTTGGGGAGGTCATGGGCATGGAATATAAGGGGAAATATATAAGATAAAAGTTCCCAAACATTAATTTAGGGTCTCCAGAAGATCTGGTGCTCAGATTACAAATGGTAAGAAATCATAACAAAGAAATTAGCCATGACCCCTGACTAGGGGTTTTGGAAACTATTACCTCATGATGAAACTGTTGTTTCACTGAGTGCCATTGATGTCTTTCTGCTGATCTTGTTAGCTGCTACCTAATGCCGGGGTTAAGAAAGGAACAAAGAGGGCAGGCACCCTGTGCTGGACATGAGGTGGATTGGATCCTGTCCAGCCTGATTAAAAATCCACAAACAAAAACTTTTTTTTTTTTTTTTTATCAACCTGTACTTAATAGCTCTAGATAACTAGAGTAGTTGAGAAATGAGACAGAAGTGAAGAGTAAGGGTTGATTACTAATATAGGTTTCTGCTATCCAGTATAGCAGGCTGGTCTGCTGCTGTCTACTGGCATTCCAGAACTCATCATTATATTATATAGTTATCTCATAGGAGTTAGGGTTGTCGACCCTTTGTCAGTCAAATATCCAAATATAACTTTTGAATCCCCAAACCTTAACTACTACTAGCCTACTTTTGACTGGAAGCCTTACCGATAACATAAACAATTAACTAATACATATTTTGTATTATATGTATTATACACTGTATTCTTACAATAAAGTAAGTTACAAAAAAAATAAAATTTTATTGAAAATTACAAGGAAAAGAAAATATTTATAGCATTTATTGAAAAAAAAAATCCATGCATAGGTGGACCTGTGCAGTTCAAACCTGTGTTGTTCAAGAGTCAACTATATATATCTGTAGAGCCCTTCCCAGCCCCTGCAGCATGGCTAACGGTGACAGAATGGAGGGCAGTGGTGGGATTTGGTCTCTGAATCCAAGAAGAAAAAGGTTCTACATCTAAGAAGGAGTAAAATTAGATTGCAGTACTTAATTGAATATTTATACTTCCTTATATCGTATTTATTATTTTTTTCAAACTGATTCACCTCCAGACAAAAACAACAGCAATACACAAAACCTCTTCATTTAAGAATAGCATCACGTATTTTTATTTTAATGCCTATGTACTTGGTGATTTTTAAAAAATATATATTTTATTGATTTTTGTACAGAGAGGAAGGGAGAGAGATAGAGAGTTAGAAACATCGATGAGAGAGAGTCATCAATCAGCTGCCTCTTGCACACCCCCTACTGGGGATATGCCCGCAACCAAAATACATGCCCTTGACCGGAATCGAACCTGGGACCCTTCAGTCCCCAAGCCAACGCTCTATCCACTGAGCCAAACCAGTTTCGGCTGTACTTGGTGATTTTTAATAATAACTGGCTACCACCGGTATTGCTTAGAGTGTGGATCAAGAAGTGTAAAGGTAGCAATTAACTGACAGCATTACTTACTTATTTTCACATCAAACTAGATAGAACTTCCTGCTGAGGGAATTAATAATACAGATTCACTCTTCATTTTCTTCACTTATTGTTACTTTCAGAAAGTACAGGTGTTTGTGGTAAGTGGTTCTGAATTTGGTTTTGTTGTGTTATCTAGTATTCTTGTTCTTGAATAATCTATTACATTATCATAATCTAGAGATAGGTTTGCAATTTTAGTAATTGTGATATTAGGTTTTTAAGTACTCAAACTGGATGTTTATTTTTTTATTTTTAAATATATTTTATTGATTTTTTTACAGAAAGGAAGAGAGAGAGATAGAGAGTTAGAAACATCGATGGGAAAGAATCATAGATCAGCTACCTCTTGCACACCCCCTACTGGAGATGTGCCCGCAACAAAGGTACATGCCCTTGACCAGAATTGAACCTGGGACCTTTCAGTCCGCAGGCCAACGCTCTATCCACTGAGCCAAACCGGGTTTCAGCCAAGCTGGACATTTAAATAACTTGGGTTCTTATTATCCCAGTGGAAGACAGAACTGTACATTGACTTTGGTGCAAGGATCAAAGCTTAAAGGGAAGGCAATACAATAGAGGACAATATAAACAAATTAAAGTGTCTGAAAGCTAAGAATCAGATTTGTGTCTAAATCATACATCCTTCAGTGTTTATATAGAGTATAGTGGTAATTACATATTTTAAATGCAGCATAACATTGGCTCACCACCATAGATTACATTGTTTAATAGAG